GCCAACATTGCCATTTGACAAATAAGAGGCCCAAATGACTTTAGCTTGTTCCTTCCCATTCTCTGCCTCACATATCTATAACAAAATGACCCCACATCTACTTTTAGACAGATTATGCTGAAAATGACAATCTTCAGACATGTTAAGAACACTATATCATTGATCATCCACTCTTGATATAGAAAGATACAAAAGATGAACCGAACTTGCAGCTTGAGTTTTCTAAGATGAATGCTTACTCATTTTGGGGAAGATTTCTTGTCCTTCCTCCATACTTTATACATAAAAATAAGCATGATGGGCAGCTAGAATCTGATGGACGCATAGCTTTCTCTTCCTCAAGTATCTGAACAGGACATAGAATTGGGTTCTGTCTATTTGGATGGAATACCTTCCTTCTCACACCAGGATTCTCATAAAGAACATGCTCCTAATAATGAATTAAACACATTTTGATAGAATCAGCAAGAGCTCAACATATCGGAGAGTTCGTAAAGCGTGTTTTTCAAGAGCAGAAGATAAAACTTCTTCACATTCAAACATGATTTAAGCTTAACAAAATCTACCATAACATTTCATTCCTATAACAGAATAGCATTGTATCATATACAATTTACATTATGTTATATACATGTGATGAACAAATATACTCAATGAGACACCACAAGAAGTAACATAGAAGTATCTTCAAGCAACAACACTATAAAATTTAAAAAGGCTACTAACTTGGTGATGTACTTAATTTTCTTACCCCAGGATTAGAAGTCTCATATGGCTTTCCTTTCCTTAAAATGCTAAAGTGGTTAAAATCCAACTCATGCACATCTTCACATCCATGGCTAATCCCAAGAGAAGCAAAAACAATGATCTTCCTTATGGTGTGGGATTGAGCATTCTTTTGTTGAAGATCTTCACACTCAATTACTCTCTTTACTTCTCTAGGACAGAAAGCCACTTTTGGAGGCTTTTTACCTGGTGTTGATGACTTATAGTTTATCATCTTTTCAACTTCTTTCTTCTTTATTTGATCTGATCTAAATTCCATTATTTCTCCAGAAGCTGTCTTTGTATGATCATGAAATAGCTCTTCCCTTGTATATTTCATTTCATTAGGAGTTCTTGAGCTTTCACTAGCTTGCCCTTCTTTATGGTCATTATTAATAGTACAAATTATAGCCTCTTCATGGCAATCAATATCATCTTCATCATCACTACCATCTGTATCATCACAATCAGCATTGGATTCACCATCTTTTGCCTTCTCACATTGCAAGAACTGGGTCTCATTCATGCTCATCCAGTTGACTAAACGGTCCTCTTTCCGAGCGCATTCAGTCTCGCACGTCTTCTCCGAATTTTCGGTTTCACTTTTGATATTGGTATTTTCAGCTGGAGTCAAATTTCTAATAGTTGTTTCTGTCTTCTGCCTCTTCAACTTTTTTAAGCTTGTTTCCATTTCTGTTGGACAACTGCCCTGAAATAATGTTAAAAGACACAAGAATACTTCCCTTTTATCATATTTATATGAATGATCCACATATAACTTTGCCATATAACGTATGTACATATGCAAATAACTAATGGCTTATGATCCAGCATTCAAATCATATGGAGTCTCATTATAATTTCACTAACTACAGGAAAGGTACTAGTAGAAAAATAAAAAATGAAACACACACACACACATATATATATATAAGAATATATATAAAAATAAATACCATGATAATAATAATTAAAAAAAAGAGCAATCGTACTGGGTCATCATGAGTTAGAATAGACTCCTTTCCTCTTTGTTGTATTTGAGCTTCAAGAATAGAAATCTTCTCCATGAGTTCTGCGTTCTTTTGTCTTTCCCTCTGTAACTCAGCTGAAATCTGAGCAATATTGTTATTATTACTACTATTATTAACAATATTAACACTTTCAGCTGCTCCTTTAACTTCTTGCTCTATCGCGCATAATGCGGAAGCATTGACCAAGCTAGCACTACAAGATTGAACCTCCACCATTATATTGGAAAGACCCCAAATATCCCAAATATGTATATATATATATATATATATCACAACCTTCTACTGATCAATATTCTTCACAAAAATTGTGATGAATATACTTATCTAATATACTACTCAACTAATCAAAACTTGAAACAGACACGATCTGATCAGGATCAAAACATTGCAAGAAAATAAATCCATGAAGTGGACTATGGAGTACTTGTAGAAGTTTGTGCAGAGCGCACTAATTTACATATATAAGCAGGCCTAGAGCTATATATATATATATACACACACACACACACACTTTTGTATAATTAGTGCAAGGGGAGTATAAGTTAAACTAATCAGGAAGAAGAAGAAAAGTACTAGAGGATGAAGTTGAAAGACACTTGGCTGAGAAATCAATGAGTTTGTATATAATAATATGGAAAGTGATGGGAGATTTGGAATATGAGAACTTAGAGAGGTTTATGGGTTCATTTGCTTTGCGGTTTAAGCTGTTTTCGTTCAAGGAAAAAAGAGAGAGAGGGAGGCGACGGTCTAGGCATGCAAATCCACGTTCACTTCTTTCTCTCTGACTTTTGATTCTGGGTATTTTCTTTTCGTTTTTCTTCACCCAAACGGTATACATTTATTTATTTATTGTTTTCCTTTCCTGAAATTCTCAAATGGCAAAAACTAACTGATACAAGATCCAAAATGTGAAATAAATGATAGAAACTTAAAGATCTGAGGACCTCTTTTTTTTTTTTTTTTTTAAAAAAAACATTTTGTCATGCTTTTTCCTATTCGTTCCACGTTCGGAAAAAGCAGTTTTAGGCCTTCAAAAAAAGAAAAATCAGTTTTATTTTTTAAAATGATATTTTCTTAATTTAAGAATACTATGGTATTTAGTAGACGTTAAAAACATCATCCATCACATTTCTTGTCTACTAATAAGAATTAAAGAAACGAATGTGACACTGAAGACTATATGTTACCAAAGACCCAAATAAAAGGCTTAAATATCCTCACTTTCTTAAAAAAAAAAAAAAAAAAAAAAAAAAAAAAAAAGAGAAGTGCTTCGAGTATCACAAATTTTGTATGGACCATTAGTTTTGGCAAACTGTTAGAATATGTCAAATCCCATTATGTTAGATAAAGAAAGCATTAACAAAGCTACGAGTTTTATATTACCACGGTTTGTTCTTTGATTACAATAACAACTCATTTCTGATATAATATATGTAGTAGCAATATTGTCTTCTTATGTAAGTGGGAATGCTGCTAACCCATTTATCTGCAAAGGGCAAGGAGCATCCGAGGTCACTATTCATAATTATAAATTCATGATTTTGTAAAAACAAAATAATGGTTTTTGTTTGCTTGCCAAGTTAGAAACGCTAGAACTTACCTACTTTCCTTACAAGAACAAACAAATGGTCCTATAAGACAATGTCACATTCTATCTAGTCTACTAGCCAAAACATGTTATACAAATATGTGTTTGAATTTGTACATGTAGACCAAGGTTTTGAGACCATTACTTTGTTTTGGAACTTGAAGTGTATTGTTTGGCCTTTGAAAACAAGATTGTTGCAATTATTAAATGGTTGATGCAAAAAAAAAAAAAAAACAAACGAACAAAACCTGAGAAGGGTTATGATTACTGAAAGGAAAAGATAAAAATTTTGCCTGTCTTGACTGCCGAGTTCTGTGTCCCCTTTTTCAAGGAAAATTAAAAAGAAAATGTGTGCACACGTGCATATAATATGCTTAGTGGGCTACAATGCGGAAACAGAATACAACCTCACGTGGAATGGGAACTTAAATCCTTGTCTCTTTAATGCAATTTGTGTCAGGAGAATATGAAACTAAAACCTTGGATACCATACTTATAATCTTAAACAAAAAAAGTTCATTACATGGGCACTCTTGCTTTTCACTAAAAGAGATCATAATCCAATTTGGTAAGTTCAAAGGGACAAAATTAGCCCTCATTGCCTTATAACTGAGCTGAACCAAATCTAAGTAGGGCAAATTAGTCTTTTCACTTTAGCAGTAAGAAATCAAAGGTCTTAAGTTTTCTTGAGGTTCAAAAAAAAATGCTGGTGAAGAGAAAAGAGTAATCCTATAATGAGTACATCACACCCCTCTTGATTCACACTGCTTTTTCAGGGAAAGTGTGCTGCCAAGGGGAAAGCAGTAGTTTACAATTTACATTCATAGCAAGTGGGGGCTTTTTTTTTTTTTTTTTTTTTTTTTTTTTTTTTTATTTTTTATTTCAATTATGGGGGGTTTTTTTTTTTTTTTTTTTTTTTTTTTTTTTTTTCCTTTTTCCATTGTGAAGCGTGTAAAATAAATGTTAGGTTTGTGATATTTGAGTTATTCCCTATTGATCAGCTTCACATGATTGGTGTGTTTTTCATGGTTTAGGTTTCTAGTCATGTCAAACCAGTTCTTCAAATGACCAAAAGTGCCAAAATGAGGAAATGATGGAACTTGTTTCTGTTTGCGCAAGAAACTGGACAAAAATTCTGCCTCTTGATATTCTACTGTTATTGTTACAATCTTTTTTCTTGTTTCATTGAATGACATGCATGATTTTTCAAGGATGTGGTCTATACGTGGTACCTAGCCAGTGACATCTTTCAAACCAAAGAGTGATCCAAGCAATTTTTTACTTAATTGAAATCTTCTTAGCTCTTTGCTGCTTTGTGTAAGTTGGAAAAAAGAAAAGAAAAAACTTACACAGCTCAGGTGGAGCAACATGTCAAACAAGCAGAAACCTTGATAAAGGAAAAAAAATTCTCTCTCCTCAATTTCCACCATTAGCCTTTACTTGTTTATTAATCCCACAAAGAAGAGGAAGGTAGAAGTAAGGAACAACAGTTTGCTTGAGCTGCTCTTTTATTTATTATTATTATTATTTATTATTTATTATTTATTATTATTTTTTTGTTCATCATCACCATAAAATGGAAGAAATACCAGAACTACTCTCATTCTGTGATAAAGTCTTGGGTGAAGGTAGTGATACTGATTTAATAAAGAGGTAAGGGCAAAAACTTACAAAAGAATAGAAAGAAGCCAAGCCCACCACACATCATTCTCCCCAAAGTCCCAAGTGACAATAGATCATTTGATTGAGAAACAATCTAGAAATTTAGGCTAATGAAAGATCACAAAAATAGGACTCAGGAAATATATAATAGTCTAAAACTAGACCTGCAGAGAAACTACATTTCAAGCCCAAGCAATACAAACTCTCTAGCTTAGCATACTCAAAATGCCAAGTATATGTTCAAGATGGCCAAAAGAATAAAACCCATCTCAACAATGCTCCTGTTTTGCTTCCTCTACACATTTCAAGTCACTCTAGCAGCTTACTTTCAAGGCAACAGACATCTCTTTGTGCTCAAAACTAACTAATGGGAACTAAAAGAGCTTTGTTGATTGTTGGGTCCCACTTCTCATCATCGTGCAGAATTCGGTATAGTCGATCCTCCCATCCTATTGCGGAGATAGTTATAAGTATGGAATTGATAAAAATAGAGTTTATAAGTCTTTTAAGATGAATAAGTAGATGACTTACATTATCAGTGTCAACCTCAGAAATTATTTCTTTGATGTTGGCTTCATCGCCTATTCCATGCTCCTTCATGGCAGTCTCTAATTCATCTCTAGTTATAAACCTGTCATAATATTTACAGAGATGAATTTTGTGAACTTTCTCTGAAGACTAAAAGATACAAGTACATAAGAGGTATTGCTTGTCATGACTTATGAATATATGCCCTAAGCTTATTAATGTATCACATAACATCAAAAAAACCACGAATGAAGCAATTGAAACTTCACTGAAACACCATATCTTTCAATAGAAAACCGCTAATGCAAGCCAGCATCGCCAGCATCCACATGAAAACTGAACTCACCCACTGTTATCCTTATCAAAATACTGAAATACTTTGTATAGGTGCTCGTCCCTTTCAAGCCTGTGTCTATGCATCGTAGCAGATATAAACTCGATGTAATCGATCGTTCCATTTCCATCCACATCAGCCTGATATGTATGCATACTCGAGTCACAAATTGAGAATGGAAAGGACGGGACAATATTCAGCATAAAATTTTAAGCTCTTGCAAAGTTCAGATACTTACAGCTTCCATAAGCTGCTTGACTTCGGCCTCTGTCAGCCGCGAACCAATGCGAGCCAAACCTGATTTCAGCTCTTCATATGTTATTGTGCCACTCTTGTCAGTATCCATGTTAGTGAACATTGCCTTAAGGCCTTTAATTTCTTCCTCAGATAGATTCTCCGCAATGACCTAAGAATGCAAACAAAATTATTAATGGGAAGAAAAAGTAGGAAAGCAAAAATTATCTAGACTTGCGCGGCTTGAAATTTGAAGAACATCTAGCCCTAAACTGAGTTTTTGATACAAGATCACCTTTAAAGCAAGCTTCTTGAGCTTATTCATTGCCCTGAACTGCTTCATCCGAGACAGAACTGCACTATCTATCGGCTCATCTGATGCTTCACCTTCTCTAAGCCAAGGATGCTCTTACCATATAAAATTACGATAGTTAGTTAGACTTAGAACTAACAAAACAAAGCACATATTCATATAGTATAGAACTTTCTTATTTCTAACCTACGAGCAATAATGACATTGTTACACCATACATTCAATGAAAATTAGTCTTGAAACAGTTCATGTAAAAACACTGCTTTTTAAAACACATTTAGAAGTGCTCTTCAGGTGGAGGGAAATTCCGCACAATTGAATCGAAAATCATTCTATAGTTCAATGAGATAGGTTTGATACCAAGAACTTCTGCAGAAGTAATTCGCTTTTTTGGGTCTTGAGTCAGCATTCTCCTGATTAGATCTTTGGCAGTAGTTGATATTGATGGCCATGGCTTACTTTCAAAGTCAATCTCCCCTTCCAATATGGCATCAAATATTCCCTTCTCAGTTTCTGCAATGCAAAAGAAATGAAGATTAATAAACATTGAATTCCATAAACTTGTATTCACCAGTAAGAGAAACTACAACAAAAGAGAACATTGAATGAATCTTGTTAAGCTTGTATTTACCGGCCCAAAATGGAGGGACACCACTGACAAGAATATACAAGATAACTCCTGCACTCCAAACATCTATTTCCTTTCCGTATTGGCGGCTCAATACTTCAGGCGCAACATAATAAGCGCTACCGACCAGATCACGGTACACCTTCCCTGAGAAAAAATTTCATAAAAACACTAAAAAGAAAAATGCCTGCTTCTACTTAAAACATCAGAATACCATTTCCTTGGACGTAAAAGATAATCAAACTTAAAAGCAAAAGGAATGCATAAGATCCCACAGGTTATGAAAAGTCCAGCTACGAGGAAAATTATAGATGCCAAGGCAATCAGTAAGTATGACCTATCTGTGTCCCAAGTCTGAAAGAGTATTTTAACAGATATGAAATTTCTCTCCTTTACATACACTTAAAAGCAAAGACAAACTTTTTCACTCAAGCCCACGAAAAATCATCTAAAATTAGCCAATCAAATAATTCAGAGGCATAAAATAGGGAGCTTTAGCAAGAGCCGGAAGTACTGAAAAAGCCATTAATAACCAAAATACTCAATCAATGCACCCAAAACTAACAGTAAAAACAATAACAATAAGGAAGAAAAATTAACAATAAAAGTTCACAAAACCAAGTTCAACAATCCCAACAAAAAAATGTAAACAAACAAACCTTCCTCAATGAAAACAGACAAGCCGAAATCGGCAGCCTTGAGCATGGCGGCCTCATCCTTGCTAGCGAAGAGGAAATTCTCGGGCTTGAGATCCCGGTGGATGACGCCCATGAAGTGACAAATGTGAACAACATTTGCAATTCCTCTGAAAATCTCGGCGGCATCTTTCTCGGAGTACCTTCCCTTGGCGATAATCCGGTCGAAGAGCTCAAGACCCGCGCAGAGCTCCATTACGAGGTGGACGGAGTACCTATCCTCGTACGCGCCCTTGATCTGGACGATGTTTGATTGGCCCGACAAGTGCTGCATTATCTGAATCTCCCTCTTGACGTCGTCCCTGTCGCTCTGCCTCGCCAGCTTCCGCTTCAGAATCGACTTGCAGGCGAAGGTCTCGCCAGTCGAGTTCTCGGTGCAGAGATAGGTTATGCCGAACTGCCCTCTGCCCAATTCTTTCCCCAGAGTGTAGTGCTGTTTGATGTCCTCGAAGGGTCGTCCTAAAATGGCGTCTGGAGGAACTGGGTTGGTCTGCGGCAGTACTGGCTGTGGCTTTGGATGTCGTTCGGGCTCTGGGGTGTGTTTGGGAGGTGGGAAAGTGGTTTGTACTTTCTGGGGGTGAATGATTGGCTCTTGATGAGCTTGTTGACTTGTACTAGTAATGGTTGATGAGCCGTGGACATTGTCGTTGTTTGGTCTAGCAGTGGAAGTGATTGTTTTGGTCTTGCTTCCGCAGCAACCCATTTCTTCTTTGTTTGTGAAGAGATGATGAGAAGTTTTGATGGAAAAGAAACGGAAAAAGAAAAGAAAATCTGAGGTTGCGATACTGGATATACTTGGGATTTTTGGAGTTCGCTAGACGCGAAAAACATGTGGGGAGATAGACCTATGAGAATATGTCGAATAAGGCCAACACACAGATAAAGTCTAGGTTACGCCTTTCTTTTTCTCTCTTTTTTTGGGTTTTTTGGCATAGGGTTCTTTTAAGGTCCCATACAAGTAATATATGTTTTTAAACGTCAGATATAATTAAAATCACGTTAAAATAAATAAACATACAAAATAAATAATTATTTAACAATTAAAAATATAGTTTTATTCATAATTTATTAATGGATTGTTTTCGGTAAGCAATTATATTAGTAGGATCAATTAAAATTAAATAAGATTAAAAAAATATAAATAACAGATAATTTTTTATGTAAATTTGACAGTTAAAAATGATTGAAAAAATAAAAATTATCAATAATTTTATTTTTCTAATTTTAGGAGAGAAACTCCCATTTTTTAAACCCTATAATACCCTTTTGTTTAAATAAGAAGTTGAGGCTATGGTCCAAGTGAGAAAGAGAGAAACCGTGTTGAAAATGACAAAATCCGTCTCAATCAATTCATTTATTTCATTTTGCCTTTCGTGGATTTGATAAATATGTCGCATTTTGTTTGTTTGGTATGAATAGAGCAAATTAGGGGACAATTGATGGTAACTGTCCTTTAGTTACTCTGGTTTTTTCTTTGTTTGTTTTTTCTCTTCCTTTTTTCTAATTATCATTAATGTGGCAAGTTTTTACGTGGAAACTTATGTGGTCATTGTGGGGGTAGGGTTTATGTCGTTTGAAAAAAAATCAAAACCAATGTGGTGCGAGTAATGAGTGGGAGGACATTGATCGGAGTCCAACTCAATGCCCTGCGCGGCCGACACACAACCGTTGATATAGTACTGAGATTTAGGTGCCTTTTCCTTATTGCCAATGAGAAAATCATGGTCTAAGACCAAGAAAGTACAACTGTAAAATCCATGGGCTTAAAGGCTTTCTTTCCGTCACTTTAATCATTTCATATTTTTAGTTAAATGTTTTTTTTTTCATGTTTTTTTATTTTAGTTAAATAGTTAGTTATTTTAAAAAATATTTTTCCTACTGACTAAATATAACTAACATAAAAAAGTTAATCATTTAAATTTTTGTGTTATTTTTATTTTTTATAATCGTAATAAATACAAAGATTTTTTTTTACATTCAATAAAATTATTTATACTTTAAATTCAGTAAGTATTAAAATAACATATCTTTAGTTAAAATAATACTATAGTTGGAGTGAATCACTCAAAAATTGTTAGTTAAAATAACTTTTTAATCATTTGAACTAAAATTTAAGAGTCTCCTCAGACATGCTCTTAAGGTTAAGAGAAAATTGGAGAACTCACCCTTTAAATGTATTGTTTGAAAATTTTTATCATTTACTCTTGACTAATATAATTCTTCGACTAGAGAGTATTAATCAAGTATGATGGATAAAAATTTAAGACCTACGCATTTTAAGGGGTATTTGGTTTTTTTTCCCTAAGTTTAATCTAGAGAAATGTCCACGTGCATTTATGCCCATTCAATTTTTTTAATTATTTTAGTTAAAGTGATTAAATATTAGGGATTAATTAAACAATAAATGCATAATAGAAAGAGTTAAAAATAAATCATTCATAACATTGTTTCTTATACCTACACGGCTTATAGAATTTTTTAAAATAAATTTTCATGAGTTGTGGGGTACGGGACGGGTTTCCCTGTCACGAATTCACAAGTACCCCAATTATCGATTAGTTCATTTCATCATAAAATGGATAATTAATCAATAAACCAACACAATTATACAAAACATGAGGTTAAAATTAATAAATGAAAAATAATTTCGAATTTTTATATATATTATGTGATATGTTATATTTAAAATTATATACTACAACACATTATACATAATATATATATATATATGGTTTAATAATGTGATATAATAAAACGGGATGGGTAAACAAGGAAGGGGCACCTCTAAAACCATCCTTGTCCCACGACGGGTTAAAATTTTAATCCGTGTATTACCTGCATTCATTTAAATCAGATTTTTTTCTCCCCACCTAAGGTGGGTCCCTGTCGATAAATGAGTCAATAAATCCGTTCACTTCGCTAATTCGAGTTTTTCTACAGTAAAAAGCTCTCACAAACAATCGCATCTAACTTTTTTGCTACAGTAAAAAGCTCTCACATAAAGTCACATCTCAATTCGGATCAACGAAGTAAACGGGGCCAAAATTGTCATTCCAAAGCTCTATATGTTGGCCAAGTGTGGATAGTGGATACAAAGATGATGAAAAGAGACAAACGTAACCGAGTAAAAAAAAAAAAAAGAAGGAGAAAAAGTTCCACCAGGCTGCTTTGAAATTTAGTGAGATATGAAGATAAAGATTTTACATCAATTTAAAAATGACATAATTTAGGAAAAAGAGCACAAGTAGTAGTATGTTTGAATACCAAGTGATGGTCTTCTCACTTACCCGTATTTTATAGGAAAATATACATAAACATCCCTCACTATAAGGGTGTAGACAATAGAGATTTAAATCATTTTTCATTTCAACAAATTTCGATTTACTAAAATAATTGTGCTACTTACTATTTAGAAATCTGTCATTTACTATAATTTTCACTCATTCTCCCTTAAAGACTCCTAATTAAGGCCCATAGTTCTCATGCTCAGCCCAAGGCAGACTAGCCCATGGTAGTGGTGACAATGTCCAAAATTTGATATCATTAGAATAATGATTGTTGAAACAGCCCTCTGAAACCCACAGCAATTAAACCAAGATTTGCAAGAACCAAAACTCAGTATCAATCAGACACACAAATAGAACACAATCTCTTAATGAGGTTCGACGGGTCTATGTCCTCGGAGGAAACTCACAGCAACAATCTTCAAGCACTAATCAAGGGGTTTTACGATCACTCAAGTCTCTCAGAACTCTATCAGAGATACAAAACTAACAATGAAAAAGAAAGCTAAAAGAAGTTCTCTAAATATACCGACTTTATAAATAAAAAATAAAAACTAGTCGTTTTGCCAAGTCAGCAATCTTCAACATCTCTCCCTATCCGATTATGCCACATTAGCAATCTAATTATTAGCCAATCTTTTAAGATGATTATATCCTTATATTGATCTTTATGATAATGACTGTCATTTTTGTTATATTTATAATATTAAATTTTGTTAAATTTTAACTTAAAGTATGAAATTTTACAATGTGGTGTAATTATCTCGACATTTACGCCTCTTTCTTGTTCGTACCAAAAAAAAATGTGGATTTAATTGGAAAGATTGAGATGAACATAGACAAAGGGACAAGGGAGGGGGTAAAAGAAGAAAGAATGTCAATAGCAAAAGTCAGATTCAGTGTCATATGAAGAATTAGAGACTGCGACGGAAGAGAGCAATGGATCTAAGAGCTGGAATGTTCCAACTTTCCAGGGGAAATTTTCAAGATACTCTTTTTGTTATTTTGAAAACCTGGGAAATTTTCTCTAGATTGTTTCTATTAGAAAAATTCAAACATGTTTTTACATTATACTTGTTTAAATTTAGCTACTTTGATTTAGGCGGTTATTGGTTTCCCGTTGATGTCGTACTTGTATCCATGTCGTTTCCTACTGAAGTGGTTTTTTTGTTTTTGGATAATTGTGGTTTATTAATTGCATTATATATATTAAAAAAAATGCATTGTTGTCGTATTTTATGGTATTTTTTTATTTACCGTCGTTTTAGTTGCGCACCTTTTTCAGCGTTATTGACGTTTTCCATTTTATTTTACCGTTTCTCAAATTTCCTGACGATTTTTTAGTTTTCTTGTTTGCCCACATTGTTGCTTATTCAGTGTCGTTTCTTTAAGTTTATCATTTTTTTACAATATTGCCGTCGTTTTATGTTTAGTGGTGTGTCTGGATTGTCGTTTAAAGTGTTGTCGTGTGTTCTTACGCATACGCTGTTTTAACTTTTAGGTCATTATCGTATTTCAATTCATGTTGCTATTTCCGTTTTGGTGGGTCTCTCTCTCTCTCTCTCTGTTGTAGCCTTGTCTTTTCTTATTGTGTCGTTTTTCCATTTATTCTTAAGCTTTTGACTGTAAGGGGTCGTCTTTTCCTATTGTTTACGTTTAATGTCGTTTGTTACTATGTTGCGCTTATTGTCGTTTTCCATTTTGTGTTATTTTTTCGTGATTTTCAGATTTTTGTTCCGGTTTATATTTTCATGTTGATTTTTTATATATTTCCATTTTATGTTGTTATACACACACACACACACTCTAGTTGATGTCCCTTTCATCTTATTGTCCTTTTCATGATGTTGTGTCGTCTTCTCATTTTATATCGCTTTTTGGTAACTATTGATTTTATATTCCTGTCGTTTAGAACCCTCTAAACACCTCTTTTCCTTTTTCCTTTACTCAACATTAATTATGAGATTTTTAACTCTTTCATCCCTGAACTTTTTACCTTTTGACAACATAGTCTGAAAACTTTAATTTTGACATCTTATCTAGGACTGACAATCTGGATAGCAGTATATGACGACACGACTCGAAATCTATACGAAGTTAGCGGGTTTGAGTTTATTATAAATGAGTTTAGGTCATAATCGGGTTGACACGATTAATAAATGGGTTGGGTTAGGGTTGACCTCCTAACACGAATTGACACGATTAACTATATGTGTCATCTGCAATCTAATGATATGTGATATAACATGAAAGTTTATATGATATATTAAATACAAATAATGTGAACTTTAATATTTGTAGGTAAAATTCATTTATTTTTCTTAAAGGTAAAGATAAATTGACCAATAAACATAATAACATGTTAAACCTGTATTGACCGTGTTAAATAAGTCATTATTATATTAGTTATTTATTTAATATATTAATTTAAACGGGTTATATGGGTTGACACGATTAATAAATGTGTCGTGTTTAGCTGGTTGACATTTTTGACACGTTTAATAAACATGTATTTTTGTTAATATTTAAATACGATTAATAAACGGGTTGATACAAACATAACCCCATAACACAAATTGTCACCCTTAATCTTATCT